CAAGAACACTTCAACGTTCAATAGAAAATTTAAAAATTTTACCAGGATTATACGATTATATATTTTTCATGTTTTAAAACGTAAATAAGTATATAATTTTAATAACGTTGATAAACTCTGTATTATGTGTATGGATGAAGCTGCTTTAATAGCAAATCTTACTTATAATATCCATCTTGATAAAGTTGTTGGTTTTTGAAGATCATGGGCCTGGCAAATCCTTTTTATCAGCAATGTAGCTGTTATTATGTTACGAGGTTTATATCAATCTTTGAAACAGCCGCTAGGTTATTTATTTTTCCTCAATTCCACATTTAAAGCTGATAATGTATAACTTATAAGAAGAGTTATTTTAGAAGCTATTGTGAAATTACAAGATATTGGATTAAACGTAAATGCTTTCATTAGCGACATGGGTAGTAATTTTGTACAAATGTCAAAAAAATTAGGCGTTACTACCGAACGACCATATTTTGAAGTAAATAATAAGAGAATTTTTTATTTTTTTGACTCACCACATATGTATATAAAATACGCAATTTATTTTATATGAAATTTTATTTTTTAAGTATGTTTTATCACACTGTTTATAATTTTATAACGTTACATAAGTAATTAATAAAATATAATAACAAATAAATCTCAAAAATATTTATTATTTTTTGTAGTGTGTTATTTTTTAAAATATTAATATTTTACTTTGAATATTTTTAATTTTACGATATCTATTATTTGAAATTTGGCGCTTTTTCCAATTAAGGATATGGCTGTAGGTCACGTGTTTCGTAAACCTCAACATCAAAGGTACCGACGCTTACTGTCGTTACTGGTTATACTGTGACAGTACACCCACGGTAATTAATTCTGTCCCTCGGAAATTTTCACAAAATAAAAAATGACCACCTTTCTATATTAATTGTCACAATCCATGCACGATTAACGTTACGACTGAATCTTATCGTGCATGAATAGTGACAATTAATATAGAAAGGAGGTCACTTTTCATTTTGTGAAAATTTCCGAGGGACAGAATCAATTACCGTGGGTGTACATACATAGACCGTGTCAGGGCAGCATCGTGTCAGGGCAGCGCTAGAACCGTGTCAGTGCATATGTATCGAATGTGCCATTAGTTAAAAGTGAAAAATGTTACGCATGCGTATTATACAGTTAAGACAATAGTAATTATATACGTGTCTAGTTTAAATCCGCTATGAACGCACCCAGTATCTCAATAAAAGCTTTACTTATGAAATAAAGTACGTTTTTATTGTTATACAAATATGAAATTTTATGTATGTACAAATAAATATGCAATTTTTATATCAACTTTATAGAAATAATTTTTTCTATTTTATTTATAGATAAAGCAACATAAACTGATAATAGATTAATTAATTTATTTTAACTTAACCTAAAAGTTAGTTAATAACATGTATGTCATTTTCAATTGTACAATTTTTGTAATTATGTTAACTTTTATATAATTATATAATTATTAACATATTATATAATGACATCAATCTTCTAGAATGATCGTTACGTTATAAAACGATAAAAGTTTTGATTCCTTCTTGCTTCGACATTTTACACAGATATGCATAAATTTCTAAAACTTTCAGTGTTAGGCATGTTGTCGACAAGCCAGTCAGATAAAAAATCCCAACGATAAGCGCTATCCTTCTTTCAGTTCGATGAGGCTGCCGTTTTTCGATTAAATTTCACATTTTATGTAACATTTTCATTTTTCACAAGTTCACACAAAATTTTTCACTTTTCACAATTCACGCTAGGGAAAAAGTTTCATGATCGATACCCAGGAGCTATTTTGAAAGTTTTGGGGATTTTAGGAGATTTTGGTAGAAGATTTTTAGGGATTTTTAGAGGGAAATGAAACACATTTAAGGGATAATCATGCGGACCAACTGGCAACAGTGATTGGTTGCCATTAGCCATTAGCAATGACGAAGATGTGGATGAACGAGTGGCGCTCGACGTTCGGATGAATTTTGAATAAGACGCGTGGTCAGTTCAATGATATGTCGAGTTTATACATGATTTTCGGCATCTAGTATGTAACGCTAGAGCAAGAATGATGATCGCGTTGCACGTGCTATTGACGGATACTGCAGAAATGCACGACTCCGAAATGCCATCCACGCTGCCATCTTGAATCAGCTGTCAAGCAGACGATACGCAGGTATGCATGGAAATATTTTCGATAGGTTCTAGCATCTAATTATTATAATTTTGTCGGCGATTCGTGCAAGAAAACGACATCGCTAAAATCTTCTCGTTTATTTTTTTTATCAGAAATACTTTGATATCATTTGATATTCTATTTTTGATTCTGAAAAATACGTGCATAAAAATAATATTACAATATAATAATTTTGAGAATAATTACACAGAAATGACAAATAAATACGTCAAAAGACAAAAAAATTTGTTATAAAATAATTGATTGTAAGAAACACAGATGTATATATATAAATATCGATTTTATTATTGTATATATATATCGATTTTATTATTGTATACTGAAGAAATAATTGGCAATGAATTTATAATCTAAAGTATATGTTTTTCACAAAGAAAATATTCATCAAGAGAGCAAAGCACATTGTCGATTTTGTAATACAATTTCGATCAGATTTAATATTTTGCGATGCACGTATAATTTTCAAACAAATTATTTACATTTTATATCATGTGATTTCAGCGTTTAACGCATTATTTGATCTCCTGTGGGACATGGAAATATCTGAAGACGATATACAAATAAGAAATCAACCAACAGACTTACTCTCAATATACAATAAACAGGAGAATGATGAATCTGAAGCAGATCTTAATGAAGTCCAGATAATTACGTCAGCGGGACATTTTTGTGCTATCGAGATCAGAGAAACCAAGAACTACAATGAGAAATCAATCGACAAGGACCAAAGTGAGGCGAATGAATCAAATCCTTCAGAACCAACTTTAGAGAACATACAGCATACCGAGAATGGTGCTATTACTAATGTATTAACTGATCCAATTTATTTAGATACCTTGGACTCTGATTCCATAAATATCGAGTTTCAGAAACAGCCAAATACAACGGAAGTATTCATTCGGAATGACGAACAGATACAAACAACAAATTATAATATATCTACAGTAACGATACCGAATGAACTTTTGGATGGACTCAACATTAATATAAAAAAGGAAGATGATGAGGATCATGGCACATTATATACTGCAGAATGGTTATGTGATGGCAATAACGACACCAACATACGACTGAGGATCTTGAAGGATGCTAAACAGAATATACAAATTCCCATTGATGTTTACACTAATGATGTGATTGCGTTAACAAAACGTAAGAGCCAATTAACGGATGATAAAGATAGTCTTGAACAGGAAAAGACTAAAGTATCTAGAAGATCAAAAAAACACGTCAGGCTAAAGTCCGCCGCACACCATCAAGATTACAGGGAAAGATTGCAGAAAAAGGCTGAATGTATGAGAGAGAAACGGAAAAAATTATACGAGCAAGAGAGCGAAGAACAACGTTTGCAGAGGTTGGCAAAGGAAGCGGCAAAGAGACGCGAGATGAGAATGTATTACGAGACGCCAGAGCAACGGAGAAAACGACTCGATGCTGAAGCAGCAAGAAAAAGAGAATACAGGATGTACAGCGAGACGCCGGAAGATAAGAGAAAGCGACTGGATCGTGAGGCCGAGAGAAGGAGAATTAAGAGATTGTCATTATATGCAAATGAAACACCAGAACAGAGAAGAGAAAGATTGAATAAAGAGTCAGCAAAGAGACGAGAGGCCCGATTGAATCAGTACGCTAAAGAGACAGAGGAGGAAAGGAAGGAAAGACTGCGAAAGGATGCACTGAGAGCCAGAGAAATGAGATTTACAAGATCCGCCATCGAAACAGAAGAGGAGCGTAGGCAAAGGTTAGTAAAGGATGCCCTTAGAAAGAGGGAGGTAAGGATGCATGGGGATCATTCGGTGAACAATAATTTTACGGAACTCCAAACCGTTCGCAATTTTCAAGAATTGAACGATGTGCAGATAAGGGACAATCCTGAAAATCAATTGGACGGCCATTATCTGAGCAACTGGATGATGTGGTTTCAAAATACATTGACACAACCGATTCACAATAAAGATCAAGTCGCAGAGCCGCAACCGCAGCATAATAGATAACTTTCATAATGTTTCCTGTCAGAAGCAAACTTTCAAGACTTTCATTTGAACGATATTGATAATAGAGATCAATCTAGATATGCTTTATATATGCTTCCCATACAATTCCTCGACGTGAAGCGACACAAAAAATCGTGACAACACAATTATCATTACGCCAATTACTATTAATAACATTACAAAATTTACAATAGCAATAGCTAAGAGAATTATAAATTCATGTTAGAAACACTATTTTATAATATTTATAGATACCGAAAGAGAGAACATAATTACGCTATCTCGGTGATATAAAAGAAAATCGTATATTGTTCGCATTTTATATTGACGATAGATCAATTCAGAGAAAAATTGAACAATATCCAGTATCTACATAACATTTAACATGCGGCGATTATTTAAATATTTAAAATTTACTGCTCATAAAAGCTCGTAAAAAGATATGAGATAGGTACATCTTAAAGTAACCACTAACACTGTGGTTACTCTTTGATATTAGGTTTAAGTGTGTAAATAAATTTTGCTGACATGTTGATACATAAAAGAATGAGAGTTGTACATTGGAAACAAACAAGAGAAGCAATTCTTGCCAGTGCCTTTTATTCATTGTTCAACAAAATAAACATTCAGACTGAATTCATTAATACATATGGCATATGAACATGAGTGAATAATTCTGGTGAAAGTTTGACTGTCTCTTGTGTTATTTTTGTACATATAGTTACTATGTACATATTTCTTTCTACAGTTCCTTTGTAATAAATGAAATAATAAATTGTGTTATAATGCGCCATTCCATTTCTTTTATAAATCAGGAGACGCTGTAGTATCTCTGGCCATGTTCAAAAATTGAAACAATAGAGGATAATAACAAGGGCAAATCTGAAAGTCAATGAAACTTACAATTTAAATTTTCCTGTATATAAAAAATTCTAAATTTAATTAAATTTCGTATGCATACATAACATGTTTCGGCTCCTGGACATCGATCATGAAACTTTTTCCCTAAGATGAAAAGTGAAAAGTAAAAAATTTCTCCATTAACTTCAATGGTAAAAATATTCACTTTTCATCCTATCGAAAAAGTTTCATGATCGATGTTCTGGATTGAGCCTTCTTCAGATGTAATAATGTCCGTAGTATCGCCGTTACAAAAAATTACTTCGCTTTCTTGTAGTGTGTTTTTCGATAAGTAATTCTCCGAGAGAACGAATATGCTGACAATGGATTGACGAATCGAGTGTTTGCAGATTCAATATTCTATTAAGACCATTACGTTTGATTATAATAAATAAGTATTCAAATCATTCTCTCATTGAAAAATAACTCACCATGACAGTACTCATGCTGTGTGTCTTAAAATGTTAATTTCGGAATTATATGGTTATCACAACGATGACAAGTATGATACACATCTGAACCAACAATTACTTGTGATAAAATTTGATAAAGTAAATTATGCATCCCATATGTCATCGGTGATGTACAATATTTTTAATAAACACCAAGGAAGTCAATTTGTTACTAACTTTAACGATTCAAAACTATACGATTCGAATGTCTAATAACGACTATGGATATTCAAATAATAATGTTTTTTATTTTCTTTTTGTTTCTTTGGTACTGCAAAGTTATATGTTGTTTATAATCGATATATATCTTTTATGGAGGCCTTCTGTATCTGTTTGAAGGTTTAAACTATTGTTTTGTCTCTTGATATTTACCATCTCCGAAATCAATCTTTTGCCATAACAAGGTTCTTCATTTAAAATTTTCACGTTGTCTCATTGAAATTCGTGATCAAATTCCAATCTATGGTCCGTTATGACAGAACGAGTAGATGTGTTCCATCTTATATGGTTTCGATGTTCTGAAATTCTTGTTTTTTTAATTGTCTACTCGTCTGTCCAACGTACGTTGCATTACATTCATTGCACATGATTTTATAAACTACATTGTTTCTTGTTGTTTTGGGACGAGGATCTTTATGAACCTTGATATATTTATGCAATTTATTAAGACTATGGAAAGCCACTCTGACATCTTCATTGTTGAATCTTTTAAATCTTTCTGTACTCACATTCCGGTATATAAGGAACCACAAACCACGATGGTAAGGCAATATCATTATTATTGCTTGATGTCATTATTGAATCAACGTTATTTTTATGACATAGATTTATGATCCTTTTATTAATTGTTTCAAATATAAAATTGACCGGATAATCATTTTTAATCAGAATGTTGATAATTAAATTCAAATTCTTATTATGATATTCGCATGATTAGATAATAAAATAGTACAGTCCTCAAGGGCGAATGCGAGAGTGCAGCGTTGTTATTTGTATGCAAATTTAATGAATTTTATCTATTGAATAATCTGAATTCACACATAAGTATCCTTTATTCATTAATGATTAATATATAATATATGTTTCGACTCTTATTGAGTCATCTTCAGTATAAATTTAAAAATAATAATAATAAAATTCTATTTGTGAGACATGTCACAAATAATTGACTGATTGGATGTTACGATCTGTTGGAAACCAATTATTATTATAAAACCAATTATTATTATGCATACTAAAATTTCATTATTTAATTAACCCTTTAAGGACCGGACGGACACTTTTCGAACGCCAACTTCAGCGCGATACTGGATAATGTTACGGCCAAGAAAAAAAATCTGCACCCAATGTTTCTTACGTAAAAAAGGCTGCTCTTTCAGATTCTGCAAACAGAATTGGTCCAAAACTCTTTCCAAAAAAAATACAGCTGTTTTTTTCCAAAAAATCGCGAAATTTTTAAATATTTTTTTCATAAATCGTCAATTTACACCCGGAAACAGCAACGCAGAGGACTCGGAAATGCAAAATATCGCGTTCAAAATGTTTCAGCTTCAAAATGGTACCTGCGATTTTTCAAAATTTCAAAATGGCGCCAAAAGTGCAAAATATGTATATTACTTCATTTTTAGCCAATCGATTGAAGTTTTGAAATCGGCAATTGCTCAATAACTGCAAATTTATGTTTTTAGAGTCGCTGATTACAAATATGAGGTCAGATTTTCAAAATTCAAAATGGCAGATGACATTTCTAAAATATTAACTGATTTTCTGAAAAATGGTCACTAAAGGGTTTTTGGGGTCGCTGATTACAAATATGGGGTCAGATTTTCAAAATTCAAAATGGTGGAACCAATATGGCGGATGACATTTCTAAAATATTAACGGATTTTCTTAAAAATGGTCACTAAAGGGTTTTTGGGGTCGCTGATTGCAGATATAAACGTTTTTTACCGTCAAAAAAATGGACGTTGCCCGACTCTTACCACCAGGAGGTAAACGTATCGTTAAAAGTTATCTTCTTTTTTTATTATGTATAATTTGTTGTATTTTTTTTATTGTGTACAATTTTTTTATATTTTTCGTCTTTTCTCCATATTTTCAAAACGCATTTAGTTTTTAGAAACGAATCATGAGGTGAACCTGGCCATTATATCTGGTTTATAAACAAAAAACTACCGGAATAAAGGCGATAACCCTTTAATTTGTTTAGAATAGGGAATAAGAATAATTCTTTAATCATTTGTAGTATGACTCACACAATGTGATAATTTATCTATCTCTATCTTTGCATTCTTACCACAGCAAGTAGCGTAAAAAATGTATGCTGTACAAAAAGTGTTCATCATAAAAGTGGCATTTTACCACTTTTTGTGATTACTGAATTTTTGTTATACACTACCGGCCAAAAGTTCGTGAACGCTCCGAATTTTCGAACGCGTCAAATAATGTGTCATATCAGCGAATTCTTTGAGATATTGAGAAAACCAGTACGATATCTTTTAAAGTACAGGAATAAAGCTTTCAATTGGTGGATTCAGTTTTATATCAGACATTATAGTCTCTTAGATGTCGTATTTTCAAAATGTTGAATTTTCGACTTTTTTCATCCAAATTTTATCTCTGACAGCAAGTGTAAAAAATTTTTCTCGCTATTACCATAAGTTTGTTTAAATACTACAGATCAAGACCTGTAAATTCCATTTTGAGAAAAGTCGATGCCATTTTTTGTTCCAAAGTTATGATTTTTTGAAAATTTTCAGTTTTACTCGTTGAGTCAGAATTCTTTGAAAAAAGGCCAAATGTTCGTGAACATGTAGTTTATTCAAGTTTCGCAAATCGCAATGATATGTTTCTTTTAAAGATGATGAAAATATTAAAATTTACAAAAAAATAAACTTTTTAAATGTGAACTGCAATTCTTTAAAAAAAAAAAAGCTCCAAAATGTACCAAGCTGAAATTACGTAAATAACTCACAAGGGAACGGTCGGAACTGTCCCTCACCGATTTTGATGCGCTTTGGATATGTTGTAGAGCATCAAAAAATATTCGACCCATATTTTTTTATAGCTGCGTATCTCGAGGTTTAGGGGGTTAAACACCCCCTTGAAGAAAATAGATTTTTTCGTTTTCAGCGAATATCTTCGAAACTATGCCGCGTATGAAAAAATGGTTTATACAATAGTTTAACAGTATTTTATGCTCTATATAATAGTGTATTCATTTTATTTTTTATCAAATTTTTAATTAACCCCCACCCTCACCTATCAGAGTCGCAAAATTAAAAAAAAATTTAAGAACAAAGATTAAAGAACATCGGATGCCGAATCCATTCATGTACAATATAATAATGTTATGGTTCCATGATATCAATATTTCAGAAAACGAGATAATAACGTGCGTGGCGTCTGTAACACGACTATCATCTTGATTTCTGAAAAATTGAATCGAAGAACCATAACATTATTATACATGAATGGATTCGGAATCCGATGCTCTTTAATTTTTGTTCTTAAAAATTTTTTTAATTATGCAACCCTGATAGGTGAGGGTGGGGGTTAATTAAAAAATTTGATTTAAAAAAATGAATACACTATTATATAGAGCATAAAATACTGTTAAACTTTTGTATAAACCATTTTTTCATACGCGGCATAGTTTCGAAGATATTCGCTGAAAACGAAAGTCTATTTTCTTCAAGGGGGTGTTTCACCCTCTAAACCTCGAGATACGCAGCTATAAAAAAATATGGGTCGAATATTTTTTGATGCTCTACAACATATCCAAAGCGC